CCATTCTAGTTCTGTCTGTGCCTCTTATAGACAGATAGCAGAACAAGTTGCCCTACTCCATTCCTCAGTTTCCTCATTTGTTGCATGAGGCTCATTCCTGCCCCATCAGCAGAGGGAAATGAATGAAGTAGTTCACAGAAAATTGCTTTGAAAAGCAAAGAGTGCTACACAAACGTTAGGGATAATGAGATGTTTTACAAAAGAGCATTATTCCTCTGCTAAGAAGTGTGCATCCACATTCACGTTTTCTATCTGTGAAGGTTCTTCTTTGAAATTAAATTGAGACCATAACCAACATCCCTCCCAGTGCTGCCTGAGGTTTTACTCAGCAACAAAGCAAGGACTTCTTTTCATCCTTCATCACATTTGAGTTCAAGCACTAAGAACTATTTAAAAAAAAAAAAAAAACAGTGGTGAAAATAGCTTCCCTTTCAGAGCAGAAACACAAAACGATCCCTCTCTCATTGCTAACGCAAAGATAAGGCTTGTTCTCCTGCTGCTACCAAAAATGCCTTGATTTGTTCCTTCTTGATGATATTCTTCCACCAGCAAGATGGGAGTGGACTGTGAGCCTGTAAATTTCCCTACACTTGTATCAATAATCAACTACTGAGTTCTATCTTCAAATAGGGATTTTGCTCCATTTTTTTCTTTCAGCTTTTAGGACACTCCCTTAAAAAAAAAAAGTAAGATCAAACTTTTATGCATTCCATCAATTCTGATCGTAGCTTCCTTAGTTGGAAACCTCCAGTACATAAGTTAAGCACAAAGTCCCAACAGATTGTCTGCAAATCTGATCTCAAATTTCTGTTCAGTAGTTTCTCAATACTCTCCAGCAAAGAAAATTAAAAAAAAAAATCACTGTGTCTGATTTTGCTGGATTACCTTCTGCTGTTTTGGAGATGCCTGTGTTTTCAACCTGGAAGGTTTATTTACAGCCTTTCCCATGGCTGGATGGTTTCTCTCCTGTCCTATATTGAAGATATCTCCAGCTACTACAAGCATAGGACTTCCATCCTGGCCCACTGAATCTTTCCCCACCCTTCAGGGTATCTCTTTAAATGCCAATAATTTCATGCAGCTTTCTCTAATACCCCTAAACCAACTGCAATCTCTCCTCCTATGAGAACACACACACACACACACACACACACACACACACACAATTTTTGTCTTTTCATTGGCACGCTGACCATTTGTGCAGTGGGTACTTTCCCCTTTTGCAATCAAAAACAAAGGCTAAAGGATGACCTTGTTATTATTTGTCAAACCTTGACTACGAAAAATTTCTAATCTATACAAAGTAAACAGAAGGTGCTATTTACTTTTGCTTCCCCTTTGGGACCTATCACAGTATTTTGCATATGGCAGAAGAAAATTTAAGTAATTATGGCCTTAGGCAAATGGAGCTGTCTGTCTGCATATCTAAATCCACTTTTCTAAATCTTCTTTTCCTGGATTGTTAAGCTTCTCCACAGTAACACACTCAACCTAGACACCTGTAAATCGACACCAGCCTTAAACCTCAGGGGAAGTGTTTCTACTTGAGATCAGTAAAGTTAACTACATCTGAGAGGACAGGGAAGAGAAAGCTTAGGTAACTAATATTTGCTAAGAGAATTCGAATCTGGTGGCCTGTCTGTGTGACACATTCTTTAAAACGTGCAATATTTGATGGATAAACCTACATATTTGAGCTTGTGATTTGTCTCCAAATTATAGGTTTTTCATACAGGTGCTGGTGGCTCATACTTGTAATCCTAGCTATTCAGGAGGCTGAATTTTGAGGATTGTGGTTTGAAGCCAGACTGTGCAGAAAAGTCTATGCATCTTATCTCTAATTAATTAGCAAAAAAAAAAAAAGCCTCAAATAATAAAGCACCAAGCAAGAGTGTAAGGCTCTGAATTCAAGCTCTTTTACTGGTGCATGTGTGTGCATGTGCACACACACGCATAGATTTTCTTTCTTTTTTGGGGGGGGGGGTCCGGTTGTGGGGCCTGAACTCTGGGCCTGGGCACTGTCCCTCAGCTCTTCAGCTCAAGGCTAGTGCTCTACCACTTGAGCCACAGTGCCACTTCCAGCTTTTTTCTTTTTGCTTATGTGGTGCTGAGGAATCGAACTCAGGGCCTCATGCATGCAAGACAAGCACTCTAACACTGAGCCACCTTCCCAGCCCTAGATTTTCTTAATTATACAAGTAATAAATCATCTTCCCCTTATCCGAACCTCAGCCTCAGACTCCTAAAATCTATTTTAGAAAGATACTTTTCTAACTTGTGCCTATTTTGCTCATTCATTTTGCTGTGTGTGTGTGTGTATGTGTGCAGAGAAATTCTTAAAGTGAACCAGCAATCTAGAGTGATAGATTACATGTCCATGCTGTGTCATATGCAATTAACTCAAATTGACTGTACACTGCATTATTCTGTTAGTGCATGAAAGATCAATAAATATGGGGAAAATCCACCCCAGCTCTCCACTTTCCCATCCGATTCTAGTAGGTCTGAGACGGATCATGCTTCTGTGATGTGTACGCCAGGGCTAAGGCAGGCAGGTGGTACACAGACACCATTCAAACTTGGCCTATTCAGTCCCAACTCCTCTAACGCTCCATTCATGCATAGCAAAACACCATCTGGTCCTATTTTGCCTCCAGCAATCACAGCTGACCAAAAACGATAATAACAGCTGTTGCAAAACAAAAGCCAAACAAAGAGGGTGGGGGGCGGGGTGGGGGAGGAAAGGTTAGCTTGAAGTCCAGTGCTGAAAAATGCTCCATGAAGTGAGAAATGGGAAAGAAACCATTCAGATGTTGAAAGCCCGCTGAATGGATGTGCAGGGGACTCCTACTTCAACTTGAGATATTAATCCATCTGTCTAGAAAGACTTCAACCTCCGTCAGGTGGTAATATATGGCAGAAATTATGCTGCACAAAGGCATTTAAGCTTTTGTTCTTTAAGTCGGAAACTAATGACCCCATGTCAGCAAAAAATACAAACTTATGTTCTTTTATCATATGGCAATACAGGTTAACACAGAAAAAGAACATGTGTAGCTAAACTAATGAAATAATGTCCCCACAGCAGGGGGAGAGACAAAGTGTGTGTGTGTGTGTGTGTGTGTGTGTGTGTGTGGTTCGAAATGGAGGTGGGGTGTGGGGGAGAGCCCTGTTAATATCTACTTAAGAGATCTACACCAATCAGACTCCACCTTTCATTACCCTGAACAAAAGCAAGTATACCAAGAACTACTTCAGTCTCAAGAATAGAAACCAGTCACATGTATAAATTAAGCTACTAAGTGATTCATAATATGCTCTTTTGTGAATCCTGAGAAAAACAATTTAGTGACAAGGCTGAGGGAGTTCTTTTTCATGATTCAGCCCTTTTCACGTCTTAAATATACAGTTTTTCTTTTCTTGTTGTTTGCCTGGTGATCAGTTTCGTTCAACCACAGTCATTAAACTATCTTTTTTTTGTTTTTGCTAGAATTGCCCGTCAGTGGCATAGCAGCATTTAATCAAATGTGATGAAAACCTAAGATTTATAAAAATCATTTAATAGACGTTACAACACCTGCCTCTTAACTGCAAACAGTTGAAAACAGACTTCATTTGCAATTAAGTCTTATCACTAGTGACATTTTTTTCCCAAGCAATACTTCATGGGTTTTTCAAAATGACAGTTACAGAACTAATACACAATTACTGTCACATGTAGTTTAGCAATTAATTTTGAAGACATTTGTCTAAAGGTTTCACAGCAGAATATAAAATGGTTCTTATTTTTACGTAATGTTAAGTTTCAATTCACAGGAAATCTTTTACCATCAAAAACTTAGCTTCTGATGGATCTGATATGAGCAGATCATTTCTTTGTGGAATACAAGTATTCCTTGTAGATGTGATTAGGCCTCTTTCTAGGACTGCTTGAACACTGATACCTGTCAACTAATACATCTTATGAAAAGCTTCAATTTAGACATAAATTTTTCTACAGCAAGAAATCTATAAATTTATAATTAGAATTTCTTGCTGTTCAATATTTGTACATAATACAGAGTATGAGAGGATTATGAAATATTGAAAGCTGAATTCATTATTCATAACCCACAACAGACAGTAAATAATTCTTTGAAATACAACAACTTTGAGGAATCCATATTCTATTATTTTTGAATGTCTTGTACACAGTAGCTACAGACAGCACCCTGCACACCCCTCATTCTTTCTAGATTACCATTCTGGTCAGGGTTGACACTTGCTGTTTTTAATTTTCATTTTATCATAAGCAGTTTAAGACTGTTGCCAGTGGTAATTTGCAATTTTTATCAAGACCTCTTCATTATAGCTTCTGACAGGACAGATGCTGTAATTAATCATTCAAGACAACTGGGATCCTGGTCACACAGCTCTCAAAAAGAAACCACTATAGAGAAAAAAAAAGGGGGGGTGAATGGTCTCTGAAGTAATTATTTTGGCCTTAAAATTAGGATTTATCATTAACTTTAAGGGCAACATGATGAAAGTTCTAGATCCACGTGGAAGACAACTGCTTTCCCCCCCTGCATTTACCTTTAACTTATATCGTAACAAAAACGACAGTTATAAAAAGATTTCCCCTTTTTGTTTTAAAGGCCCTGGTTTTTTTTGTTCGTTTTGTGCCAGTACTAAGGCTTGAACTCAGGGCCTTTTGCCTCTTATATGGCTTTTCCACTCAAGCCACATATCCACTTCCAGCTTTTTGGTGGTTAACTGGAGGTAAGAGTCTCAAGAAATTTGGTGCCCAAGCTGGCTTTGAACTTTGATCCCCAAATCTCAGCCTCCTGAGTAACTAGAATTACAAGCGTGAGCCACTAGTGCCTGACAGGGCCCTGGTTTTAAAATCCAAAATCATTTTAGCCATTTCCAAATGGAAATGAAAGATGGTACTTGGGCTCAAACAAAAGGTGTCCAATGCCATATTTCCCCCATGTTAACGCGTATTCAAGGAACCAAAGTGAAATTTGACATACCATTTTATTTGAAAAGGGAACATTTTTTTTCTTGTTGTTGCATCAAAATACAGTCCACAGTTTTTACTGAAATGTGTTTATTCTATAGCAAGATAAAAGCATTTTGTTTTAGTTAAGCAAAATACAAACAACTTAATCGCCGCTATCGTCCGTAACTCATAAAAAAGTATAAAACAGCATAAAAACACAATAAGCAACATAGCAATGAATGGTTTATGTCACCAGTGTTTACGTTAAAGCCTCGTTTAGGAAAACTTTACAACACATTATATGAAAACTTACAACTTGGAAAGAAAATATTTACATTGATTATTCAGATGTAAGTGTGCCTTTTAAATATTCTACCGGTATTACATCATAATAAAAACTCTTGCATTTTTTCTTTTTAAATCTTAACTTTTGAAATAAGTGTCTTCATTTAAGTGCATTTCCCTTTTAAAAATACAGTGTTTTTTAATTTTTTAAATTTTTTTCCCGAACCTTGTCACTCCTAACACGGAATATAGGATTCACATTTCTTTTCCTCTAATTGCAATGAACATCTGTGCTAGCAGTGGTCCTTCGATACTGTTTCAATATATACTGCAGCTTGATTTGGAGAAAGTCATGGATAAAAAGTGAAAATCAGTCAATAATTGAATCTAATCACTTGCATTTATTATTATTTTCTCTTTCTGGAGAGATTTAGGAAAAAAAATAAGAGCTTTGGCAAAAGTCTGTGATTTACATTAACTTTTTTTTCATGACAAAAAATGCCATCAACTATTCACATCATACAAATGTTTGTATGAAACTGGATCTTCCTATTTCAGGTAGTTACAACTGTGCTTTAATTAATTAACTTATTTAATTTAACTGTGAGGGCTTTGGAAGTTCCAATAGCCTGCAAGTATAGTTGACTCACTTCTGGAAGAATAAGGCCATTTTCTATGACTCAGGCCAGTTTCTAGTCATCAGTATAGTGGAGGATTCATTAAACAGTTTGATTCACATATTGTAGGTAAAGCCTGAATAAATAAAAAAGGCATCACATAAAAAGAGCACAGCTTTCCTTGTTTCAACAATGATTTTAATAGTCATCTACAAGGTGTCACCCAGCTACACTTCAGTCTTATTGCCTATCTAATAGACACTGGAGAGGACCGGTCAACCTGTTACACATTTCTGCATAACCAAGACCAACTGCACAACTTTCAGCCCTGTCTGCCTTCCTTCATTTCCCTTGCCACTCTCCTCTTCCATGCACGCAAATCCACCTGGCCACATGCGTCCTCTTCAGAAAATACTGACCTGTGGTAATACTTGAGTCTGTGTCTGAGACTGGATTTGCGACTGGTGTTGCTGTGAGGCTGGCTGGGGGCTCCCGAGGGCAGGGATGGGGGATGTGAGCTGAGAGGTGACAGGCGAGTGCTGCCGGGGAGAAGGCTGAGGCTGGTGCTGCATGTGCTGCAGCTGCTGCAGCTGGAGATGCAGCTGCTGCTGGTTGATCTGCTGCTGGAGGTGCTGCTGCTGCTGCAGGTGCTGCTGCATGTGGTGCTGGAAATGCTGCTGCTGCAGCTGGATTTGCTGCTGCATCTGGTGCTGCTGCAGCTGCTGCTGTTGCATCTGTTGCATCTGCTGGGTTTGTACGGAAGGGCTCACCTGGGCAGAGGCTGCTGAGCCCACCATGGGTGTCCCCATGGAGCTGATCAGCGGAGCCCCAACGTTCGAGGGCATGTTGGCGGCAATGGTGACCGATGTGACAATCTGGCTCATGGGGAGTCTCATGGTTAAAGGTTTGGGAGCGATCGACCTAGGGATGGACTGCGGGAGAGTCTGAGGTGAGGCTGGAACTGTTCCATGTTGAGACAACGGAGTGTTCAGGAGGAGAGAGGATGTCAGATTGGTTGACGCCAGGGTCTGCTGCACAGAACGAATGGTCTGGGCTTCTGCTGATTCAGCGGCAGCCTGCAGGTGGTGAGGGAGGGGAGGGAGGTGTGAAGAAAGTTCCAGAACATTATAATCTCTCTGTATTTAACATATCTAAATATTTTAAGAAGTAGAGATTGACTTGAATGATCACCACTATTAGTCACGTCTCCCTGTCTCCAAGGATGGTGTCAGTATTGTGTGACTGTTCAGCTTTTAACCGAAGCAGAGTCAGATTTCCTCCCTCCTTGAACCTGGGTTGATCTAATGCCTCTGCTTCAGTCACCGGAACAATACAGAAGCAGCAGTGTCCAATTCCAAGCTGAGTCCTCAAGGCTCTGTGCACTCTCCCACTCCCTCTTGCCAAGGCTGCCATCATGTGCTAAGGACAGACATGTGGCCCAACTGTTGCACTTGAGAACCAGCTCTGCTGCCAGCATGCCAACTCCCTGCGTCCAAATGAGTGAGGCCACCTCTCCCGCAACTCACAAGCTGACCCCAAGAGAGAAGAGCAGGACTAGATTCAAAGACCCATCCAGCTACTGACACACTCAGGAGAGAAATGCTTATCTGTGTAAGTCACTGGACTCTGTGGCTGAGTGTGACACATCACTATCGGGCAAAAGATAAACAATACACATACTAAAGAGCAGTAATTCCTCAGCATTTAGGCCCCTACTAACCATACTATTAAGGTAGTATTTATGGAAAGGAATGGGGTATAGACTGCTTGAGTCTAAACCCAGTGAGATAATGGGGTACTTCTGTGCTTTGGGGGACATTAACTCACCCTTTAGTACCCGGTTTTCTTATCTGTAACATGGCACGATATGTTACTGACCTTGAGCAGAGGTTCTAAGAACTAAATTAACTCGTGTTAAACATTTAGAACAGTGACTGGCCCTTAGAAAACACTTAGTTTACGTTAGCTATTTCCATTAATTAACAACTACCACCACCACAAAACTACTAGTAATAGAAAACATCACAAAACCCCATGTTCACATTAATTATTTATAACTGTGCTCACTCAGTTATAAGAAAAACATAATTGGATTCCTCAGAGATACTAAACTGAAGTACTCCACCATTTTCGAATTGCTCTAGGCTTGCCAACTGCTTTCAAAGATCTCCAGAACTTACCAAAGGAGCTTTGGGTCAGGGGTAGGGATAAGGAGATGGATTCCAGCACTCCACACTAAGAACCTGCTACACTATGCCTAGCAAATCTAGGCTCAACATGGAAAGAAACTACCAGTTCCATGTTGTGCTAAAATAACATTACTACTTCTGCAAAAATAAATTTCTTTACAGATGCAACAGTGATTAGAAGATTTCACCTTAAAGACTACTCTTTCACTTTTCACAAAATCAGGGGTAATTAAACACAGTGGGAGTACCTTAAAGGCATAGACTGGCCATCCCCTACCTTAAATGACTTTGATACTTCTGGTTTTCTTTAACAGATTTGAAAGTCTTGCTATGGGAAGAAACCTGAACATAACTTTATATGGATGAAGTTAACCAATGTATACAAAGTTTCTATTTCTATAGGCTTCTTTCAATATATTGTTACTGTCAGACAGAGCCTTTCATGGACAGCTCTCTCTATTACACATACCCAAGGTGGACTGCTTATTTCTAAAAGTCCTGTTTTACTGTCTTAGGACAATGAAATGCCCACACATACTCAAAATGATCTCGAAGATCATCACCTGACCATAAAACAGAATACCAAATTTTGTACATATAAATATGTACGTAACTCTTACATACTTTTCTATTTAAAAGGCACTAAGCTCATTTTAAGGACAAACCCACAAAGGACACCTATATTTTGACACTTGTCATTGTGCTTTAATGAGAAATGGAGATGGGCAAGGGAGTGGAGATTTCCTCCCTCCTACCATGTTTACTTCTTTTCATTTAATAGTAAGTAGCTACTCATTTCTTTGAAGACTAAAAGTGACAGCAAGACACCCATCTTAAGGGAGGGAGCCCTAGCCTCTGCACATCTTTGCCTAAGTACACAAACATATGAGGCAATCCTAGAATTTTTTCTTCATGTGGAGCTAAAAGCTTGCTTCCTGTAATTTCACCTTTTGGGTAGGTAAAGAGATTAGAATTGCATAAATTATACAATTACATCAATTTTATGATGCTTTGTATGAGCAGTATGATCCCATAAATCATGGTTCTTATATTCAAATTCTAAAATCAAACTTCCCCAAATGTTCTTCTCCCAAATTCTTTTAATGATTCTAATAGCTTTGACAGTCAGTCTTTGTCATTATGGAAGCAGTGTTCTGGAGAGCAACCAACTAATCACCAACTCTTAAGTTTTGAGGTCTGAAATAGAGCCTATTTTGGAGCTAAGAGTTCTGGGGATGGCCTGGACCTTGTGCATGCTCAGATGTTAAGCATGTACTCTACCATTAAGCTCAGCCATTTCTTCAAATGTGGTCTAATGTACGATGAGATGCTGTTTCCGGTGAGGCCACAGTCATAGCAGCTACTGCAAACTTTGGACTCCCCAAGGGCCATTCCAGTTACCTCCCAGGTCTTGGAATATAAATTCAACATCCTTGCAAACAGCACTTACTGATTTTTTTTAGAACAGTATTTTAAATTTATTCTTTTTAAAGTTTCTTCTGTTGGGAGTTTTAGGATCACTGATACCCACTGAGAAACATTTCTAAATCCTGATTTTAGTCATAATGTGTAAGTTTTAAGTAATCCCTTCTAACACAGTCACAGACTTGATGAGCCTAATAATAGTTGTTGCCATTTCCATTTGAGGCAGTGGTTCTTTGTGCAAATCCAGGTATGGTCATTTATTCATGTTCTAATGTATAAAGATGACCTACACCTGCTTTTGAGTAAATGAATGAACACACAATCCACTTAAGAAGTTCATGCACAGGTACTCCATTCACTGCACTCCATCTAATTAATCACCAACGATCCCTTTGCTCGCTAATTAGTAGCCCACACAATTTGCCCAGTGAAAATGAGTTCAGGATCAGTATAGCTTTCTAAAAGGTACCTTCCACAATCTCAGGACAAAGTTTGCTACTGACCTGATGCATTTATCTATTTCCAATGAAGCAGTAAGTGTCCCGAGAGCTATCGCAAAGGCAGAAGGACCTCTAGTCCTGTGAGTCTGAATAGCTTTGTATAAGAAATGGGTCAGGCTGGGCACCCGTGGCTCATGCCTATAATCCTAAATTACTGAGGATGGTGAGATCTGAGAATCAAGGTTCAAAGCCAGATCAGGCAGACAAATTTCCCAGCAAAAAGCTAGAAGTGGAAGCATGGCCAAAGTGGAGCACCCGCCATGAATGAAAAAGCCAAGAGAGGTCCTGAGTTCAAGCCTGGCACTGGAGGGTGAGAGAGAGAGACAGAGAAAGGAGAAAAAAAGGAGCAGAACATTTGAATGTGGCTCAAAGCCCTATGTATATTCAAGAAAACAACCATAAAATTGCATCTAAACTTCCCTGAAGAAATTTATTAATAGTAGAAATCCACTACTTCTAACTATCCTCCCTAAAGCCTGTTTAAATACTAGGAAGGCAAGACAAGGTTAATTAATTGTTAAAATAACAGAAGAGCTTGAGGCTGGGTGCAGCATAGTGGTGGAGCAGTTGGCTAGCATCATCAGGCTTAACTTTGATACCAAACACTGAAAATTTTAATAAATAAGTAGTATAATAGCTCACAGTCCTTTTGAATAAAGGTAATAATTATCTAGAGTGGCATTTGCTTTGGGGTATTAGCATGTTTTTGATACAGCAGAGACCACTGTATATTCCATGCATAATGCATATACGTTTTGTCTGAGTACTTAGAGCATCATTTTACCTTAAATAATGATGAGATTTATTCATATGAAGTGGAACAGCTTGATCAAAAATGTACCATTACCTATTATGATAATATAACCACTGGAGAGATAGATGTGGGAAAACGCCTTACAAACCTATCTCCCAGTTTTTTAAAAAAATTCTGAAGACAAGATCTCATTATGTAGGCCAGGCTGGATCCAATCTGGTGATCCTTCTATCTCAGCCTCCAAAAGTCTCAGACTACAGGTGTGAGCCACTGCAGTCGGCAGCCTCCAGATTTTATCTGTCCATCCATCTGTCTGTCTACCTAATTACTAATTACTGGTAAGTCATTGTACAAAGGCATTTCAACTCAACATGTCAGTTTATAAGTACAATGCATCTTGATCAATGTGCAGGTTTTAAATAGAGGACACTGACACAGATCCCAATCCTTGACCAAAAAACCCAACAAAACAAAACAGTAGGAGATGTTTACCTACATAGCTACATGTGCTTCTATACAGATCAGTGACTCTAAAATTTTAGAGACAACTTAGATTCTGAGGCTTAAATGAACTCCTATGGTTTCTGTCAGCATCATCCAGGGAATCTCTAATGGAAACAAGTTTGAGTTGTTTGGGAAGCTCTTTCATCAGCTATTAGGGGAATTGTATTTAGTTTCCAGCACTTGCAGGCTACTTTCTACATGGCACACTGGTTTACCTTAGAAACGAGGCTGGCCCTGTATGCAGCCAGGGCCTTCAGGTATTCTTTCTTGGCAGCTTCCGTTTTCCTTTTATAGACCTGTTAAAAGACCACAATTAGGACCACCTTTAGCCTATAAATTCTCAGCTACAAAAACTGCTGCACAGATTAGGCCATAAAAACACAACTCACTGAAAAAGTTGGTCCCCTGGCTTTGATTTCTAAATGTTACACATACACACATAGATACTAAAACCAAACCCAGCCACTAGCACAGGAGCAGAATTTGAGTGTTTACTTGAGAACAAGAGTTGATGGCCTCATGCTAATGCAGTAAATAAGGGAGCAGGAATAAGCTTTGTTGCCCACAGCTCCAATTCTGGGAAAGAATGGCTGTCTCTACCAACGTCATCTTCCTCTCACATGTATTCCTGAACTATCAAATCAGAGCACTGAAGACAAATCACTACAATTGGTACAGTGTGAAGCTCAGTGAGAAAGCATGAAGGCCATTCAACCTGGAGTTTCCTTTGGAGACAAAGAGAAATCCAAAATAATACGAGAGGGGAAGATTTTCACTTGTGAGATCCATGAATTACACAATGCATTCCCAGTACACTAAACATGATTTGGGCTCCTTAAATGGCAAGGAATTGGAGTAAACTGGAACTCTCTTTTTCTCCAGAGTATGGAAGTTCAAGGACCCAGCTTGTCTGTTTTCTAGCATTCCACACTGGCAATAGAAAACCAGTCTGCTGGACATTTAATAAGTTCATGACAAGCCAACAGGAAAATTCCATAGTTTCATCACCCCACTGAAACATGCTTCCAGAGTAAGTTTCCAGTGGATCAAGAAAATTCAAGGATTTTCCACTCTTCTATCTTTCAACAATTATCCTACATTACCACTAATAGGGGGCTATTCTTTTGTGGATCTATTAAAAGTTAAGTCTTATGAATGGTGATTGAAGTTTCATGCAAGGAGCACAAGAGGGCCAGTCCCCAAGGAACCTATTTTGTTGTGGGTTTTTTTTTCTCTCTCTCTCTTCATTGTGTGGAGGAGTTTTGAGGGGAAGAAGAAGAGACTAGGCCCCTCAGGAAGTTATCTCCCACCAGCATGGCTAATCTCTGAATATCTCTCACACTGCCAAGCTTTAAAATGAACCTGGAATAAAATTTCAAATGCCCAGTGACAATAATGAGGCATGCAGAGGCAGCTTCAAAGTTTGGAAACCCACCAGGAAAGCGCAAGGGTTCAGAAAGATGATCAATGGAAAAGCAAGCAGGATGGACCTAATCCCTTTGTAGGACCCTTTTTGAACAAAGGGGAAAAAATTCCACGTTATTTAAAATGAAAAAGATTATCATCAAAAGTTTATGCTTGCAGGCTACTGCCTGGATTTCTTCTAGCCCTCCTGTGAATGGATTCTGAACATACATCCTTAAACGGACTAAGAAATCGATATAGAGACTCGTTTGGATTTATTTGCATGTGTGTTTTAATTCCATAGCTTAGACAAAGCCTTTCTAAGAAGCAGTTGTACTAGAGAAGGGTATCCCCAAAAAGTGTAAGGGCTACTCCAGTTGTTTTAAAATAAATAGCCCTGATAGTCTTTGTCTCACCTGCTTCTGTTCTTCTCCAAGGCTGTCCCACATAGATGCTACAATTTTTGAGACCTCACCAAAGGTTGCATTGGGATTCTGGCCTTTAATTGCAGCCTGTGTGTCTCTGAAAAACAGGGCATATGCTGATACTGGCTTCTGTGGCTCATTGGGATCTTTCTTTTTCTTTTTCTTTGGAGTCTTGGGCTTCTTGCCAGAATCTGGAGCTGTTCTTTTCTCTCCGATGGCCTGTAAAGCAGGAAGAAAAATTCACTGCCTGAAATGTACTTGCAAGGGAATGCAGCAAGACTTATTCCGATCCATGACTGCTCTCTGAACGTTTTGTTAACTATGAATCACCACCAAAAGCCGGGGAGGAGCAAATTTGCTTAGAGTTAACTGGACAGCAGAGATTAGCATTTAGAACATTGATTAATGAGACCCAGAAGTATCTTCAATACATTCACAACTTTGGCTCTAAATGGCAATTATGGGTAATGAAAAACGTGCACACACAAGGAAAATATTTTACATTTACAGAAGGTTAGAAACAAAAATCAAAGAATATTGAGATACTGGTCACATCCAGATATTTTAAATGAGTGTGGATTTTAGTGAGTATATGTCTGTATGTTCTGAATAATTTCTTTCTAAGGGTGATTTTCTTTCTTTTATCAGAATGTTACCTTGATAATGAAGCTCTGAAAACTCAATTCAAAATTAGCTACAATCACCACACTTGCACAGTAAAAGAAAGGTCATTGTTATTTTCTATAATAACAATAAGTTTCTAACAAAATGAGAGACATAAAATGTTTCTACCTGAAATATAGAAATTGATTCTTTTCATGAGATTAAAAATCTATGAAAGCACAATAGTCAATCATGAAAAGTCACTAACACTAACAAGAAGACAAGTCAGAAGCTGTTTTGGTGGATATGCCCATAAGAAGGCTTCCATGGAAGCCAACACATATCCACAACATGTATTCTGAAATCACAAGGAGAAATATAGTGAGGCATAAAATGCCACATTCACATCCTTCTCACTTTCCGCCAACATCTACTTTTACTGATCATATTTATCAGAGAAGCAAGGATATGCTTTATTGACCTTCTTTTTTCTCCTCCAGATTACAAAATGACCATGCTGAAGATAACTGAAGTTAATTTCATCAAGAATCCTGAAGTGTGTAGTAAAATCTGTTTTAAAAGCCAAACTTGAATCAAGACACTGATGGCTCATGCCTATAAAATCCGAGCTACATGGGAGACTGAGACCTAGAGGATTGAGGTTCAAAGAAAGCCTGGGCAGAAAAATGTGGGATACAATGGAGTCTCTCATTAACTAATAAAATGCTGGACTAAAAGTGTAGTACAGGTGGTTGACAGCCAGTAGTATATAAGAAATCCAAGCAAGTGTTCAAGACCCTCATTTTAAGCCCTGGGATCCAGACACACACACACACACACACACATACATGCACACGTACACACACACAGTCAAGCTTGGGCAAGATCAATGGAGACATATTCAAGATATTAACAGAACAGACTGACTTTTGATGGACTTGAATCCTAAATCAAATATTCCTAGATAGTATTATATTCTGAATGAAACTCATTTGAAACTTAATCCAACTTCTAAGATTCTTAAAGAACACTGAGAACTAACTCCTTTTGGAAAGTTATAAACCATCAAATCATTACAAAACCTAAGTGCCTAATAGATTTGCACTGCTTGAGGGCTTAGACCACCCACACTTGGTAAAAGTGGATTAAATGTGTTGAGATGTACCTCACCTCTTCATCAAAAAGGCAGTTTTCATAACTTACACTAAGTAATTCTATAGACCCCAGAGTCTTTTTTATTAAGTTCTCAGCATAAATGGAACTTGCTTAACTCTACTTAATGGATCTGAGCTTGCAAGGGAATTGGAACCAAATTTTCGTTCAATGAAATACACACACACACACACACACACACACACACACACATTTTTTCTAATTGAATTAAACAAATATATTCTTTTCCTGGAAGAAAACTTGGCACTGTTATTGTCAATAGTAGCCTGATCAGTGTCAGTTTCCCATGCAACTTTTTTCCACTGAGAGAAGCTGAAAGTTTCATTCCCTGTAAATCAGCATTCAAATGTCAACAGCTTTTGATGCCTATCTTGGGAAACTATGACTTAGCTCTAACCAGAATATACCAGAAACGAATAATCCTCTGGTTTAAACAAAAGCTCAGGATTAATTCTCCAAAAACACACACAAAAAAAAAACTTTGTGTAGTTGATTTAAAAGGGTAGGTAAAGTTGGAGAAATAATTTTACCCAAAGGGAGACATAATTAATGTTTGTTTTAATTTCCTTCTAAGTTGTTAAAGATAATCAACTAGATTCCTTATCACCACTTAAGATTTCAACCTTCAGTTAAAATGGAGACACGGAGAAGGGCTCTCCTTAGTAAGATGTGACATTTCAGTTTGATTCAGAGGTAAGCAGGATTCATGGATGTGTAAGCGGGGCAAATGGGATCCATTTGAATGAATGCCCATTGGCCAGCTGCGACCTGGCTGTTCATTATTTCTCACCTTATAAAACAAAGCTCTGATCACAAATATATTTGTTTGTGCCTAACTCATCTTCCCTATTGGGGGAAAACAGTTCTGTTTTTCCAGCAAGATACTCACATTACTGATATCCAACTCATTACATTATTGATAATCCAACCTATCTCTTTTTCAAATTCTAGCATAACACCATTCTCTCTCTCCTCTTTCTCTCTCTCTTTCAGAAGTCTCATTAATCTGGTTCCTCCAACTTACTCCTCCCTGATAAAAGAAAACATAACAAAGGGTCCTCTAATGGATTTCCTTTTCTCTGGTCCCTCCCTTTATAATGCATTCTATATAAAGTCAAGTTTATCTTTCTAAAGCATCAATTTGCTTATGCCTTCCATCTGTGCAAATAATTAATCAGCTCTCAACTACCAACAAAAGAAAAAAGTCACAAATTTAGGTAAACTTTTTTTCTATTTCTTTCCTCCCCCATATCAAACTTGATGACAGTCATAAATTGACATGTACTTTCCATCACTCCCCATTGTTCCCTTTTCTACAATGGTGGCCTCTCTTCTGCATCACAAACTTTTATGTATCCTCTTAGACCTAATTCAAATACAACCTTCTCAATAAAGTCTTCCTCAAATCACTCTCCCAAGCAGAATCGATTATAATCTCAGCATACTAGATCCATCAATTATACCACTAATCACATCTGGAGCTAGTTTTAAACCTTGCTATTCATCCTGAGTGGGGAGTCCCTTGGGCAGTAATTCTCTCATAAATCTTTTTATTTTCCTCTTTCAATACTGGGCATTGAATCCAGTCTTAAATATGAAAGGCAAGTACTCTACCACTGAACTACATTCCAATCTTCTCATTAATATTTCTATCACTAGAACCAAGGAAAATGTAAAGAACAGAGTAGATGCACAGCACTGAGTTGGTGATAGTAATGAGTAATTGTATATGGCCACAGTATTCTTTTACAACAAGGTTATCTAGTCTAGGTATACCTAGGCACCTGGAATCCACACACATCTGAATTACATGGTTATCACTACAAATGCAAACATAAAATGGTGATAGAATTTGCTGGGTGAGACCCATCATTGAAAAAATAAAAGTTAAGGAAAAAATTAAGCCATCATAAACTCAAATAATATTTCAAATGAAATCATTTTCACAGGAAAAAGAAGTCAACACAGAATAAAATCACAGCTATAAGTTGGGGGAGTAGGGTGGGGAGGCTGATTTCTGGTAGTCTCCACACTAAGTCATCTCTGACTTACTCTGTTGGCTTCATCACCATCCTCTTCATTGATGGAGCTGGAAGGAGAGGGAGTGGCCGACTTGCTTGCTGGGGGCGAGGGAGATGTGTGGGGCATACTGGCACCTCCCAAGTTCAAGCCGAGTTGGGTACTGAGCTGAGACTGGTTGATGGTGGTGAGCTGGGCAGGAGGCATGATTCCAGAACGAGCTGCCTCAGTCATGTGGACAATGGACCTCATGATCAAGGAGGGATCCTGACGGTACTGTGACACTTGTGTGTGGCTCTGATCCTACAAAGGCAATGGCAAGGGGAAAAGAAGTTTAGTTTTCTCAAATGTCAATGAACTTACAAGGTGAGCAGTCCCTTAGATTGACCCGTTGAAATTTTGGCAAGATAGATCTATGGCAGGATGATGGTCCCAGCAAATTTATTAAATATAAAGACTCAGGTCAGAAAGTTAAAAGGTCAGAGCCTGGAATCCTAGCAACTCAGGGAGCTGAGATCTAAGGATCAAGGTTCAAAGCCAGCCCAGGCAGGAAAAGTCCATGAAACCTATCTCCAATAAACCACTCAGAAAACCAGAAGTGGCACTGTGGCTCAAGTGGTGGAGTGCTAGCCTTGAGCTGAAGAGCTGAAGGACAGCACTCAGGCTCAGAGTTCAAGCCCCATGCCCGCCAAAAGAAGAAAGAAAATAAGAAAGAAAGAAAGAAAGAAAGAAAGAAAGAAAGAAAGAAAGAAAGAAAGAAAGAAAGAAAGAAAGAAAGAAAGAAAGAAAGTAAGTTAAAAGGTCAAAGAACAAAATCCAAACAGGTAGGCCAGGCTGTTTCACTATTGTGTTGTCTCTGGATTAGCAAAAGAGGGAAAGTGGGAGGGAGGCAGGAAGGGAAGAGGGAATATTTGAAAAAAGAAAGACTAATAATTCTTGTTACTCATTGAGAAAGATAGTGGCAGAGGAAGGGCTGAAGCAGAGACCAACTCTTCAGGGTTGATCATTTGATTTGCAACTTTCTCATACCTAGCACTGATTCTTTCCCTGCCATCCAGCTCTGTGAGGGAAGGAAAGCTAGTCCCCAGCTTTATCCTTCCAGGAACCCACATGAAATACTGAGAAGATGGGTTGAGAAATGCAGAGAGATTTGGTTTCCAGAGCAACATCTGTTTGCTGCAGGGCATCCTTTCTGTACAACTCTCACAGTTAACTAGAGGGTCGCTCAGATTCTCAATTACACTGTCAAGGGGATCTGGAAGTCATTCCGTGTCCTGTGGATGGGATACCATTTCTTTCATTTAAACCTACTTTGTTCTCTTTGGTTGAACTCATCATGATTTAATGTCCTAATGGACTTTAAAAACATGTCTAAAGAGAACACGGAGATCATCAGAATTCATTTTCTCTGGAAATTTTATCACTGACTTCAAAATTAGCCTTCTCTGTTTTCTTTTAGTGGGCAGGGATCCTACAAAAGACTTTAGGGCTAGTGCTAACTCTCTTTCCCTGCATCTTTAAATCCAAAGAATTCAAAAATGAAGAGATGCTTTTCAAATGATTTCCTTCAGACTTGTCATTTAGAATGAGTGTGATTTGACTAAAACAAAATTTCCTTGATTCCCACTGACCCAGAATCTAATTTGATATGCAAGCCTATGAATCCTTAACTCTTCTTTTTTTTCTTAAAAAAAAAAAACAGAACGAATTGTAAATAACTAAATAGAGGCACTTACTTTCTTAGTATTAAATATACAAATGCCAGTAAGTAATAAGTTATATTAAAGGAAACTAGTTAGATGCATTCTGTTTTAATCCATATTACAAAGTATTAGAAAGTTTTTAACTTTTTATTTTTTATTTTTGGTCGGTCGTGGGGCTTGAACTCGGCTTAGGCGCTGTTCCTGTACTCTTCAGCTCAAGGCAAGTGCTCTACCACTTGAGCTACAGCACCACTTAGAAAGTTTAAAAAAAAAAACAAAAACAAAACACTAGATTAGCACTGGGCATCTGTGGCTCACTCCTGTAATCCTAGCTACTCAGGAGGCTGAGATCTGAGGGTCATGGTTCAAAGCCAGTCCGGGCAGGAAACTCTGTGAGACTTTTATCTTCAATAAACCACTCAGAAAAATGAAAGTGGCACTGTGGCTCAAGTGGTAGAACACTTGTCTTGAGCTGAAAAGCTAAAAGACAGCACCCAGGCCCAGAGTTCAAGCCCCATGACTGACAAAAACAAAACAAAAAACACACTAGATTAGCTTTATGTGCATTACCTAGAGCACTATTTATCAATCTCAGTTGATAGATAGCATCTTGAACCTGACCATTTTAGTTGGGGCCCTTGCCCTGTTGGGAGTAGACAGGTCCTTCTGTAAATCCCTCCTCAGCCTCCATCCCCTAACACTGATAGCAACCTCCTCCCCAGCCCCAGGCAGGATAATAAACAAATCCCAAAGATTTTGACTCAGGAAAAAAAAAAAACTAAACAGGGCTTAATATTCAACATAGAAATTTTTCTATGTCTTCATAACTTCAGAATTGTTAAATTACTATAGAATCCTGAAGAATAATGTTTCCCATATTAGGACAATCCCTCTCTCCTGAGTCTCACTGGTAGTGTTGCCTTTGTAGGCATCTTTCTGCACACTTGAGTCACAAAAGTGAATTGTATGTTGTTTGTCCTAATTTTCCTTTCATTGGCTCTCTATCAAAAAAGTACACCCAGCAACTGGGCTGTAGGTCCAGTTTTCCATGTTCTTCTAAAGTTTGACCATGTTCCTTATTTCACTTCTAGTCTCAATGACAGACAATTAGGCTATCTTCCTCTTAGTTTAAGCCTCCATACATATCATGCTTAACTATTTATAAACTGGGGTGTTTAGTACATTTAATTATATTTGTTCCAACTGTAGAATAACAAATGAGTTAACTAGCATAGCCTTGGACTATGATAATGCCATTATGCAGTCTTCTCACTAATGGAGAAGTTACTTGGCTTGCTTTGTTCCAGTGCCTGTGAAAATCAGCTATGGCATTTTAGATGAATCTTACCAACAAACAGAAGACCAAGGGCCAGGCCCTCATGGCTTCACCAGCACTTCCTGAGTCCCACCTGCAATTTAGGCCTAGATTACAAAGCTGGGCTTCCTGAGTGCTCCATCTGATGCACAGCCAAGGTTTATTGTACTAAGCAGGAACTTTTTCTGGGTATGTGCCAGGATTTGTGCTAAACTTAACAAGTATCAACTAAATTTAATCTCCTGAAAAGCCCTCTGGATTAGAGATTATTATTGTACCAATTCTTGAACAGAGAAGATGGATTCCTTAAATTACTGAGTTAGCTACTGACTCATGCTAATGGAAAAATTACACTCTCAGGATGCCACCAGGCCTCAATGGTAGACATTCCTTTTACATTCCACTGTGTTCTTCTGCAGTCAGGGAGAAGTATAAAAACCCTTTCTGTACAGGCCAAAGTCTTGATAAAGCAAGAGACATCCACTTTATCTTCAGATCAAAAATAAGATTCTGTCTCATTCTTGTCGCCCACAAGACACCCAAGGATCTCCAGAATATGTTCCAGGAACCTCTGACTCATAATCAATGCATCAAAATGTGCTAATAGTTGCATGGCCTAGCATTATCCGATAATAACATCCTACATATAAAGATTACAGTATACTAAGATTGATGGTCAAAGGGTGTCTTTGGAAATTCAAGCTCCTTTAGGGCTACCAATGATTAACAACAACTGCTTTGAGAGACTTATCCTTAATCATGGACCCCTGATCATTTTCCATCCAGAAAATAACCTCTAGGGGATGGTTTCTTTGATTGTAGAACTCCAACTTAAAAGAGAAAAAACATCAACTCAGTTTGAAAGAATTTATTAATTATCTATCATGTACCAATGATTATATCTTTGAAAATGTGAAAATTACATGTGACTCTTTTCAGCATCACTCTAAACAGAAGTTAGAATAGGTGACAAAATTTACTATAACAAAATGTAGGACAATAATTTATATATACTCTTCCAAAACAGTTAACAATTTCCTTCCTAGTAATTACATAATAAGGAATTACATAACCATAAGTATAGCTCTAAACAGTTACCACTGATTACGTAAAGGTAAAGCAACAAGTGGATTACAAGAGATTGCCATGATCATATCCAATAATAAAATTTAGTCCCGGTATCTTTTCTTTTTTTTCTTGTACAGTTCTTGGAGCCTGAACTCAAGGCCTGGGCACTGTCCCTGAGCTTTTACGTTCAAAGCTAGAGCTGTACTACTTTGAACTATAGCTCTACTTCCAGTTTCCTGGAGATGATTCTCACAGACATTCCTGCCAGGGCTGACTTTGAACTGCAATCCTCAGATCTTAGCCTCTTGAGTAGCTAGGACTACAGGTATGAGCCACTAGTGCCTGACATGACCTGGTATATTTTTCAACTTCCTATTTTCTTTAAATTTCTTTGTTCAGTACTAGAGGCTGAACCAAGGACCTAGCTCATGGTAGAAAAGAGCTCTACATTGAGCTATATACCCTTCAGCTAGCAATTACATTTTCTATGTGTTTGCTTACATCATCTCCCAAATTTCTTAACATTTGGGAAAACAAAATCTCTCTCCCTGTCTCTGTCTCCGTCTCTCTCTGTCCTCCCCCACTCTCTTTTAGTTCCAAGACCAGGATTCAAAGTTAGTACCCGAAGCTTTCAGTCACTGGCTAGCACTCTCCAACTGACCCACACATCCAATCCTTCATTCTCTCTTTTATGTCTAACTTTGTTCCTTAATTGATGGTATTACACAGGAATTTCTAAACTTCAGCAGTAATGACTGTACAGTGTAGAATGTTTAGTAGCATCTCTGTTTTCTGCCCTACACCACCAGGCTGTGATCATCAAAATTTTCTCTTGACACTGGCAAATGTCAAAAGTCTCTCTTGTGGAGAGCTACTGTGTTAGATGAATACTGTGGAAATCACCTTCTTGAGATACTGGGGTTGTACTGGTAAATATCTAAAGCCTACGTTCTATCCCTAAAAAGAAAATATGAGCATTAATAACATTGAAATTGCGGTAAATATTATGAAGAAATGCTAAATATTCTACACAAAAAAAACAGAAAAGTAAAAGCACTAGGGGTAGGTTGGATTCATTTGGTTTGGCCAGTAAGAAAATCCTCTCAGATAAGGTAACCTGTGCCCTGATGGTGAAGGGTATGTAAGGGCCAATCAGGAGACCAACCAGGGAAAAGCACGTTCCAGGTGTATGAGAATTCTAAGGTGTGAGAGTGTGT